TCTCGAGGAATGATAGGGGGGGCCTCTTCAACGATAGGAGTGGACTCTTGAGGGATGACAGGCGAGTCGGGCTTCTTCTTGCGGTGTCTTCGCACTATTGGGGTGTACGGAGACTTAATAGCACGTGCACGCTGTCTGATGCGTGAACTCCGTCGTGCAAGCATAACCCGACGTAAAGCATCCACTCTATCGGGCCGCTAAATAATTAAATACAAAAATCAGTAAATAAACAGACATGATATTTAAACAGTGAAAACAAAGACAAATATGTTTCAAACTTGCATTGTATTCACCCAAGTCATTATTCTATCATAGTTCACAAAATGCATCAGATAACAAAGAAAAATATGTTTCAAACTAATACCCTGAAGTTAGTATTTGTCTTTGTTTTGTCTATTGGTTGAAGTAATGCAATCCATTCAAGTTTCAATTTGCAGAAGAAGAAATAGTTTACTTTCGCAACACGAAACTTAAAATCGCAACGCGAAACCAAAATCGCAACGCGAAATGAAAATCGCAACGAAAGAATCGCAACGCGAAACCAAAATCGCAACGAAAGAATCGCAACGCGAAATGAAAATCGCAATGCGATTTTGGTTTCGCGTTGCGATCTTGTCGTTGCGATTTTGGTTTCGCGTTGCGATTCTGTCGTTGCGATTTTCATTTCGCGTTGCGATTTTGGTTTCGCGTTGCAATTTTAAGTTTCGTGTTGCGAAAGTAAACTATTTCTTCTTCTGCAAATTGAAACTTGAATGGATTGCATTACTTCAACCAATAGACAAAACAAAGACAAATACTATTTCACAGTGTTAAAGAATACACAGTTTAGCAGAATTGGCAGCAACCGAACAAATTTACTTTCAACCAAAAGACAAAACAAAGACAAATACTATTTCACAGTGTTAAAGAATACACAGTTTAGCAGAATTGGCAGCAACCGAACAAATTTACTTTCAACCAAAAGACAAAACAAAGACAAATACTATTTCACAGTGTTAAAGAATACACAGTTTAGTAGAATTGGCAGCAACCGAACAAATTTACTTTCAACCAAAAGACAAAACAAAGACAAATACTATTTCACAGTGTTAAAGAATACACAGTTTAGCAGAATTGGCAGCAACCGAACAAATTTACTTTCAACCAAAAGACAAACAAAGACAAATACTATTTCACAGTGTTAAAGAATACACAGTTTAGCAGAATTGGCAGCAACCGAACAAATTTACTTTCAACCAAAAGACAAAACAAAGACAATACTATTTCACAGTGTTAAAGAATACACAGTTTAGCAGAATTGGCAGCAACCGAATAAATTTACTAAGCAATCTAAGTGAAATGGCTAATCTAAGTGAAATTACGAGTAAATTTATCATTAAGTTAAATATGGAAAATCTTAACTTACCTCGTTGCGTAGAGTATGAACCTCATTCTGCAACGATACTATCATCTCACGTAGAGCGGCAACCTCACCACGTAAAGTTGACACCTCCACACGCCATGCACCATCGTTATCGCGTAGAGTACCGATCTCCTCACGCAAGGCATTGACCTCATCACGTAACTCCCTTGACTCATCCCGTGGAGGTGGAGGTGGAGAACAGGGAGATAGGAGTCGTGGCATCTTTGCCGGTCGCCTATCATGAGGTGATGGTGGAGAAGAGGCTCGATGATGTGACGGGATAGGTGATGGCTCTCGTTCTAGAGGTGTATAGTCGGGTTGATCGGGTGATGGCTCTAGGTGAGGTGATGGCTCTCGAATTGGAGGAAGTGGATGTTGCTCATCATCCGTGCCATCAAAAAAACTCTGACTAGCTTGCCACCAATCAGTGGCAAGCTCTTCCTCCGTGGGTGTCAGTCTTTGTAATGGAATGTTGGCCTCCTAAAATATAAAAACTCAAACAAAGTTAAACGTCTACTATTAATAACTTGTTTATATATTATATGAAAGTATTTGTGTTAACTTACATTATTTATTGTCGCATATGGTATTAAGTCTTCCCAATCCAACAGAGTTTTCCTCTTCCAGGAAATAGCCCTGGGAATATCATTTGACGTTTTTATTGCATATGTACGCATGCTGGGGAAAGCCTCGAATATCCAAATCTACAAACAATATAATAACAAAATTAGTAATTGTTAAATAATTAATTATAATTTTAGAAACATTATATAGAAATTCTTACCTTAAAGGCCCAAACAAAGCCTGACAAAGTGTATTTGGACCCATCGCCCCGCAAACTTTTGCGGTCATCAAAGGCAGACGACAACTTAGTCCAGGTAGCTTTCCATATATATGAACCCCACGGAAACAGATTCCATGCATTCAGGTCCTCTACCAATATTATTAGCTCCCGATGAATAGGTTGTCTGGCCTCTCTGCCTAAAAAGCCGGCATACACAAGTAGTAGAAGGCATACTCGGACAACATCGACGTCATCCATCCGAGTGAAACCAGCTTTCTTATTAAATAATTTCTTCAGGTCGTCGACATGTAGGTTCGGCTTCTCCATTGACTCATCCGGAAAAACCCGGGATAACCATGATGGGCGGGCGATATGACGAGTGTACCGGCCTACATCATCGTGTCCGAATCGTAGACCAGTGATTAAGCAGAACTCCTTCCGCCCAAAACAAGTATACGCTGGTGGAAAATGAAACCATATCTCTTCCTCACCACGTTGTATACTGTCGGGTAGATTTGATGTCATGGTCTGAAGCCATAAATGGGTCAAATTAGCATCTCCACCCGGATGCTGTACTCTCAGCCATGGCCCGAAGCAGGTTTCCTCAAACAATTGTCTTTGAGCAGGTGAAAGCTTCGAAGCAATTGTAGTGGCCAGGCTGACTTTATTTCTCAAGGTCAATTGAGCCGAAAAAAATTTCTACAAAAACAATAAACATACCAAGTTAGATATACCAAAACTACACTGTGAAGATATACTAAAAACAATAAACATAAAAAGTAGTAGTTTATTCTTGAAACTAAAATTTGCAACACTGTTTTGTCTTTGGGTTGAAATGAAAATCGCAACGAGAGAATCGCAACGCGAAATGACAATCGCAACGAGAGAATCGCAACGCGAAATGAAAATCGCAACGAGAGAATCGCAACGCGAAATGAAAATCGCAATGCGATTTTGGTTTCGCGTTGCGATTCTCTCGTTGCGATTTTCATTTCGCGTTGCGATTCTCTCGTTGCGATTTTCATTTCTCTCGTTGCGACAGTCATTCTCTCGTTGCGACTCTTCTGCAAATTGAAACTTGAATGGATTGCATTACTTCAACCAAAAGACAGAACAAAGACAAAGACAAATACTAACTTGAAAATCGCAACGACAGAATCGTAACGCGAAATGAAATCTAAGTGAAATGGTTAATCTATTATTGAAATGACCAGTAAACTTATCATCAGTTTCAATATGAAAAACCTACAATAATGCAAACATTTCAAAATAAAAATAATTAAAAAAACTAACCCTCGGAGGTTGATTTTCCATTTCTGAATATTGTGAGGGATTTCTGACCGTGAATGGTTGTGAGGGATTTCGCCGGAGATGGGGACGGAAATATTCGGAGATGGGGACGGATTTCTTCGCCGTAGAGAGTGAGAGATGGAGATGGGACTGAGTTGTGATTTTAGGTTTTAGGTTATGAGTTGCGATTACGGGATTTTGTCTTAATATTCGTTTTTGTAATTTGAAAATAAAATACGCGTAGCGATTATAATGGCGCTTTAAATATCGCGTTGCGATTTACGGATTCTCGTTGCGATTTACGGATTATCGTTGCGATTTACGGATACGCGTTGCGATATACGGATACGCATTGCGATATACGGATACGCATTGCGATTTACCCATACGCGTTGCGATTTACGGATACACGTTGCGATTTACGGATACGCGTTGCGATTTATGTGTTCGCGTTGCGATTTTCATATTCGCGTTGCGATTTTGTAAAATCGCAATGCGAATTTTTACTATCGCATTGCGATTTTCAAGAATCGCGTTGCGATTTTGGAAACTGATTTGCGATTCTGGGGATCGCGTTGCGATTTTTATTTCGCGTTGCGATTTTATTGGTCATTTTGGCAAATCCAAAAAAAGTTGGTTAAAATCGTATATTATAACTTTTTTTTGGTCACTGAGGCGATTTTCTCTAACTATTAATGATTTATGTAAGATAAACCTAATCTTTTATTGTTCAACCAGATATTTGTACAAAAATAAATAATATTTCTTTTATAAAAATAAAAGATATAATGATAACTTTAATTTATGTATTTTATTAAATTATTTTTTTAACAGAAGCATTTAGTCTTATTAAAAAATGAAAATATATAAAATTATAATAAAAATTTATAATTATCGTTGTAAATTAAATTTGTAATTTGAACATTTTTCTATAACATTGACAAAAAAAATTAATCACATTTAGATCATACAATGATCACATTTTTCTATAACATTTAGGTTTGCACTCCATATCAATGATTGCTTTATAGCAATACTTATGAATTTTCAACACATGGCAATAGTGGTGCTGACTTAAATCTGGGAAGTTCTTAAAAATGTGGGAAGCCTATTTGTTTGGAGTTGAGATTGATCTCCTTATGCCATGGAAAATGTGGAAGGGCATCTGAGAAAAACTTAGGAAACAGCTTAAAGCTTTCCATCTGATTGAGAGATAAATACATGGTTAGCAGACCTTAGATGTTGTCCTCATCTCGGTACTATGCTCTTTCAGCAATCAAGAAAAGAGGGCTGGAGGTTTAGGTTTCCTCTCTAGATTATTGTTTGCTTTATAGCCTTAAGTAAAATTGTATAAGTATTGCCGTAGAAGCCGTGACTTGAAGTTCTTAAAATTGTGGAAGGCCTATTGTTATCATTCTCATTTTATGCTTTTGAATTAATTGCATTCCACGTGTTTTTCAATTTTTGTATGCTTTAACTTTTTCTGAACAGCTCTAAGTTTGAAGTTTCTGTTCTTCATGGCAATGGTTATGGTTCTCTATTACTGTTGTGCTTCTGTTTGCATTGACCTCTCTATCTCGGTTTGAAGTCTCACATAAATACTTTTCCTTCTTTAAAATTTGCTAGCTCGAATGGAAGATCGGTTATCTGATGAGAAAAATGGTGATATTGATTGTGGGAGGGTAAAGAAATCTGACAGCCAATCGATGCCTCAGAATGAATGAAATGAGCATTCCGAGAAAAGCTGCATGAAGAATGGGATTTGGTCCCATGAGGTTCTTTGTGACAGAGAATCAGATTCAAATTCCAATTCAAATCTTAATAAGATGATGAATAAGGTACTGTTTTTTATTAAACTCCTACTTCAAGTCAATACCTGCTTGTTTATTATACTTTTTTTTTTCTTGTTACATAGCATCTGTCTATTTGACCTTTTGCTTAAAACTGTACCTTTTGTTGATGATTGTCATGTTATTTGTTTTGTTTGCCCAAAATTTTTAGGAAGATTTTCTTCCATGCTTGTTAATATTTTCGGGAGTAGGCTTTTCCATATTTCTTCCCATGACAAATATATATTTTTCTTAAACTAATTTGAGGCACCTGTAGCGATGCCTATAGGTAAGGAAATACATGATACTGAATCTAACAAGGAAACACAGCATTGTCTCTTTTGAAACATTGTCCAGTTTACTTATGGTGAAACTCTTACTACTATTAATGCTCAGATCACATAATTAAAAACTATGCATTGTACGATAGGCGTTGTTTAAACTTTCATGGAGGTGCAATGGTGATCAGCACAAACATGACATTGTCTCTTTTGAAAAAGGGAATATTACAACAGCAGAACGCCGTAGTAAACAGGTATTGCTTCCTCTATCATGTTAGGAAGCTTTTGTTTGATGTGATTTTGTAGGTAATTTAGTTTCTATATTTATTGAATAAGCCTTTTCCTCCCATGTATATTTTTCATTAGGATAATATGATTTAGATATTGTTTGTTATTGTGCCTTCTATCCGTCATCTAGTAACTCCTTGTTTCTTTCCAGATTTCTTTGAAGCGGGAATCTGACCCACAGACTGTGCTTATTTTGACAAAACCAAATTCGGTTTCTGTTCAAATTCTTTGTATGCAAATGTTCAGGTACGAATGATGAAATTCTCAATGCAAGCTTTCATGAAACTTGCTTTTAGTTATTACACGTTAACCTTCTGCAAAATTTTTCAACATATTCAAAATAATGCATGTTTCCAGTTGCCTTACCATTTATTGTCCAAAAAAAATTCACATCCTCCTTTCAGGTTGTGATAAAAGTGGCTACGGAAGCACTATGTCATGCCACTTCTCTTTCTCTGTGCCTTTAATGAAAAGACTCATCCATGTCCGATGGTTTATTTCTAGTATCTGCCAAGTAATGTTGTTCCCCGTTTATTGAATCTTGTGGTTTCTGTGCTCTTATATTTAAGTTGGGTGGTTCCATCTGTTAATAATTGGTGTTAGGTTAAAACCAGATTGTATATGTTCTTCCTGCCTGACCCCAGGTGAGGTTGATGACCCCTGGAGAGGTTGTCCACGTGTAGGCCTTGTGAGCTATAATGAGGGGGAGTGTTAAGTTGTTTTATCCCACGTCTATTAAGTATTGTGCTTTTTGTGGTCTTATATTCAAGTTTGTCCCTTCCATCTAATACAAGTTGGTTTTTGATGGGATATTTAATGGTACCTATTTATGTTATGCTATAATACTTTGGGTATGCAGTGTTCTCAAAGGAGAAAGGCACACTCTAGGCGTTAAAACCCTTATATTGCCCTAGGTTTAAAGCTAACACGGGATTTTGTTGATAACTTTTCCTTGCTTGTTTATATTTTCTTGATGCCCAGTGATGTAAAACATGGGATTTTGTTGTAGGTCGCCATTTGTTTCTGTATTTAGTCTGCGAATACAATCATATGACTGAAAAATATAATGTCGGTGTATGCTCCAACAATTGCAGGTCCCTGGCATTTTGTTCACACCAATTTGTCCGCATTCATTATCCTTCCGACCCCTGATACTTCCGGAGCACGTAACTGTCCGAATAATGGTACCGTTTAATAGCGGAAGTCCAGCTTGGGCATCATTCGATGGAAAGGACCGGAAACTGTTGGTTGCTGGGGATGCTCTTTTATGCAGCATGGCACCTTGGCCTGTGCCTACAGCACGTCAAGTTGATTCTACTACCGACTTTCTACGCAGCATCCACGACGGCCTGCATTGGAACCTGAGAAAGACGCAGTCATTCGACGGGCCTCGGGATATATAAGGTAATTTCCCAATCTTTTAAGCATGTGTAGACATTCTATATGTTGTCATTGTAGGAAGGGGGAAAGATGTGTTTCCCCTGTAGGAAGGAGGCATTGTGTTTGTGGTGCTGCCGATGATACAACCAAAATTGTAGTCCAAGACTAGAGTTTCTTTGTATGATTTAAATGTGATCAAAAGAGGAATTTCGCTTTCAAAATCGTCGCAATATAGTCTGGAATTGTTTAAATTACATAGGGAAAAATGCTCAAATTAGGCGAATTGGTCCATCTCAAAAAAGGTTAGTCCTTGTAAATTTAAAAAATGAGCAACTAAGAACAATTAATCACTATTTTACCTTTTCCCGGAAATTCTACATAATCTTAGATGGATTACTTATCAAAATTAGCCTCTCAATATTTATTGAAATGATTATTTTGGTTCATATTCTTTTTTAGAGCATTTTAGTCCCTCAACGTATCATTTTAGGGTAAAAATTTCTCTAAAGCTTGATCGAATAGTCATTTTGACTTTTATTATTATTTTTTTTGGAGTATGTTGGCCTTTAATGTTTTATTTTAGGGTAAATGTCTCTTATTTTAGAGTGTTAATCGTTTGTTAACTAATGATTTTCATCTATATAAGGAAAGAAAGAATATGGATCACTATGATCATTTTGATAAACGTTGGGGGTTAGTTTTGACATTATACCCAACAAATTTAGTCTCGTTATTTACACATCGTGCTAATTTGATCCAATTTTAAAATTTTAATAGACATTTTATAAATGTTAAAAGCTAAATTTGTTATTTTCTAAAAAAATTAAGATCAATTTGACATAATACATTAATGTGGTGATTAATTATCTTTAATTGCTCTCTTTCTGATATCTGACCGTGACTATTTTTTTTAGAGAGACCAATTTATCTAATTTCGAACTCAAGAGGGACCTAAGAGGTTATTTTAGCATATAAGAATGTACAATTTACTTTTGCATAAAAAGCTATTGGACTCTACTTTTTGGACAACTGTGGATCCCTTCTGGGAAATGTCGAATGTGACTGCTACTCGTAAGGCCAACCCATATGCAGGGGTGAATTTGGATTTTTTTTAAAGGGTATAAAATGAAATAACAAATTTTTAGAAAGATTATAGTGTAATTTTCACATTAGTAAAGTTGAAACTTTATGATTTCTTAAGGACTATAAAGCAAAATTTCCATTTTACCGACCATTCGGCTTTGGTACATCTATTGTGCCAGTTTGTGTCGCATGAGTTCACTCATAAGACACGTTTTTCAATGAAAAGAATGTATAAATATATGAATTATTATTATTTTATACACTGGTAGTAAAGTTTTTTAAATCGACTAAAAGTATATTTTTTAAAAACTTCACTACCGGTATACCCAATAATAACTTATATGTATGTATGTATATGTATTTTTCTACTAAATACAAATGAAACTCGATGTATAGCATGTATGATGAACAAGAGAACTAACATCATCCGACTATGCAATTACTTCACCCTTCCTGCATTGCCTCAACTTGATGTTCATAATATTCGAGCCAGTCATGTTCAAAACATTGCAGCATTCGATTTTTCCAGGCTGAGAAAACAAAGAAAAGAGGAGAATTAAACAAATAAGAATGAATTCTAAACATAATTTATGTTACCCTGATTGTTCATACAAACCTGCTTGCGAACCGTTGCATTCGAAAAGACTCGAATTCTTTGGACGTCGTCCGCGGTATGGTTTCCGGCGAACAAACAGGTTCCTAACCGACGCGGAGCTCGTCGTTTATACGTAGAGAGAACCAAGGAATCCCCTTTCAATCTCCTAACGTGTTCCATGAAGAACACATGTGGAGCTTGGCACGGATCGTTTGTGATTGGCCTGGTGTTGAACATGAACAATGGGGGCGGACCATTTTTCCAGGGCTTAAATGTCTCGAGGGGTTTCTTCAGAATGCTCCGAGGGATGATGGTTTCGTATATATGAGCCGAGTAACCCCATGAGATGGAGATGGACCAGCTCTTTCGCTTGTTGTAGCATATTGTTTGCTGTGCTAAACGTGATTGGTCGACTTTGGCTGCTTGCATCAGGTGTTTTACCGCGTTGGTTCGGTTCTTGTTGGGGAATATTGGGTCTATGTTGTCGAAATGGTGAAGCGTGATGATCGGTGTCGGCGGATGAGCTGATAACATGCCCGATATATCACCGAGAAGATCAATCTGAGGTTTATAATATCACAGTAAGAAATCTTTTTGCAGTTACACAAGTTGCATTTAGTTTGATATTTCAAGAAAGATACTTTAAAATTATGCCAAGTAATAGAGGTGTAATTACCTGATGGACACCACTTTCAATACTCAGAGAAATCCCCAAGTCGAATAAACAAGAGGATGTTAAATGGTCACTGGTATGGCTGAACGGGTATCTTTCCAGGCAATCATTCATCAATGGGGCAAGTTGTTGCACCAGTGAATAGCTCAGAGCATATCCGGCACCACCGTACGCCATGTCGTAGGCGAAAAGGAAGTTCGAGATGACTGACTCCGAGTACATCCCGATGTAATAATGCTTGGTATGATCATATTTTGCCAACGTCTCAACTAAATTCTCTAGAAAAAATATGGTGTCATCGTCGGCCATTACGAACCACCTCACGCCTTGGTTATCTCCAAGGTTAAATGAGTCGAGAACGGATCGAAAAATCCTAGCCTCGATCGGATTCGCGAGCCTTGGGTACACCGGCAGTTTCGTGGCATCCGAATTGATCTTAAAAGGTGGAGACGTTTTAGGCCAAGGGAGGAACTCTTTAGGTGGAGGTGAGTCCATGAAGATGCTCCCCCTTGTTTTGTTCGGTTTCCACCAGGATTCAGTGTAGGGTCTTCTCATCGGCCATGTTTTAGTACAACCAACGAGTACGAACTTAATGTGACTAATGTTGGTCGGATAATGCACAGGCTTGACCGTTGTGTTCGGCCGTTTCATTTCGATCCGCGTCGAAACATCGATCGAATCTTTAGATCGAGGGTTATACAAGAATTTGTACAAGATCAAGAGAACCAGGCCCGAAAAAGCAGACAACTTGGCTAAATCCAGGAAAGAACGACTACGAAACCTGTGTTTCATTTGTGTATTCAAAGGAAAAAGGAGTTTGTTTATAAGAAGGGCTTATTACGAACGCATAGAATGAAAATGTTTAGATCTTTGTTTGTGATTTAAGTTTCACTAACAAAGAATCAAAATGGAGAAGAAAGGGTGTGTTTTTGCTGTTGTGAAGACAAAAACACAAGGGGGAAAGTGTTGGGTTTTGTGTTTGGTTTTTGGAGTTCATGTGACGGTGGTTGTTCATGTGTGTGCAGTGTTTTGCGCATTTGGTGTGGTACAAAAAGAGGGACATTTTTGCACGTTCAAATTTGATGTCCTTCATTCCCACATGCTTTATTAAGAGCGTTTCTAAAGGAATACGTCTCTTTCATAAAGTTTTTGCCCCACAAATTCAGGACCATAGTTAGGAGCATGCACCAATGGATTCAAACTTGTTTCTCCCACACAAATCTACACATGGTTTGGGTAAACCTGTTTCGATTTTACGTTACAAATATCAAATTTTACACATCATTGTCATATTATTTAACATTTCACTAGGTAATGACTACATGAGCATATGCTTTGTCATAATATTTAACTTTGATCAAGTTGAACTTGAGTAGTTTGTGATCTCATTTACAACCCTAATTCTCACTGTGATATAGAATACCTAATGGTTGCACAAGATGAGAGACTTGAGGCTAGTTCCTAGGCTCTTTATAAAGATGAAGGTGCTAAAGCTATATGAATGGGAGAAGTCATTTTAAGAAAATTATTGAAAATTTAAGGGCACTGCAACACAAATGGCTACCTTTGGTGCTTGTTGTTACTTGAAAATTCATAATAGTACTGTCTTCACTTTTGTCCTCACCATACGTCTTGTTTAGAATCTTGTTAGATGCATATCTGATGTCAAAGTGTACCATTGTGGGTTAAGGGTGTCAAATCAACTATTCTAACACGACATCCCCAATTGTATTTAGATATTAAATGATCGTTTTATTACAAAGGTATTGGTAAAAGATATAATGACAGAAAATACTTTTAACATTTAGTGAGCAGTCATTTTGATTTTTTTTAAAAAGTATTTTAGCCTTAAATTACTTTGAGATAAAATGCTTCTAATTAGATGAAAATTTTTAATTGACTAATAATCAATGTTTATTATCGATATAACAAGTCTTATGTGTCTAGCGTGATGATGATGTGACACATACCACGTATGCATAAGTGATTACATAGCATTTGCCATGTGTTTAAAGTGATAACGAGATACGTACTCTATGTACATCAACAAAATGCTTCTAATTAGATGAAAATCTTTAGTTGACTAATAATCAATGCTTATTACCAACATAACAAGTCTTATGTGTCTAACGTGATGATGTGACACATATCACGTATACATATGTGACCTGCATAACATTTGACATGCGTTCAAAGTGATAACGTGGTACATATTACATGTACATAAGTGATGACGTGATATATATATATATTCTTGAACTAATTTCTTGAAACCAGACCTCTCGCAATGGTAAATGGGCTAAGGTGTATGAATTACAAAGCAATGGAATTTCTTTACCTTGTTCGAGACCCAGGTTCGTTTCATTTCTTTCTCCATTTTCCTTATATTTCATCCTCATCAGTTGGTTTCTTCTGCGTGTGTAAATGCATGATGAGGGAGGAATTAGTTATTCATATCATTCCTTAATAGATGATCCAGGAAAGACACAACACTTACTTGCTCTTGAAGGAGCCGAGGACAGGCTGAAGCTGTTTAAAGCAAACCTATTGGAACAGGGTTCATATGATTCCGCTATTGAAGGCTGTGAAGGTGTTTCTTACACACCATCTCCCTTTTATCATGATGTCAAAGATCCCGAGGTTGATCTTCATTTATTAATCTTGAAATCTATCCTTGATTGATTTTAGTTTTGTTCTTCCTTTGTCTACACCAGGCAGAATTACTTGATCCTGCTGTGAAGGGCACATTGAATGTACTGAACTCGTGCACGATGTCGTCTTCGATCCGACGAGTGATCTTGACGTCTTCTATAGCTGCACTCACCTACAACGGGAAATCGACGAAACTTGTTCTGCTGATCTTGACTACTGTAGGAGCTTAAAGGTGTGTGTACATTCCTGCTACCTCATCTGATGCCATACTGAATACATGAAAAATTGACTGGTTTTCGAAAGAGAAGGGCGTCGACATGGTTGCCATGAACCCGGGAATGGTAATCGGACCTCTATTACAACCAACACTTAACACAAGTGCTGCAGCCGTATTAAGCTCAATCAAATGTACATTAAACGAGAGCTTTCATCGTCGATCTTCCGAAAAACACACGCATTAAGTCTTGTTTGATGCAGACATTTCCCAGTGCAACATTCGGTTAGGTGAATGTTGCAGATGCACGTAGTCGAGTTGTTACACGAACTATACCCTTGTTTCCGGCTACCGGAGAAGTAAGTTTCTGAAGCACCAAACCATTTTGAAGGAAAATGGATTTGCTCATTCTTTAGGACCGTCTCTTTAGCTCTTTGCAGTATCTATGATAAAATATAATATTATTATTTGATATATGGATTATGTAAATTTATTTATTTATTTTAATCTTAAAATATAATTTTCTAATCCTTAAACCCTAAAATCTTATATTCAAACCTATAAATATTAAATCTACACTTTTGTTGTAACTTGTGAATTTACCGCTTTGACCCAAAAATAAACGTTCGGTACCTAAATATTCCAAAAAAAACAATACGGGTAAAGTTGACACTACTATTAAATATTAAGGTCATTTTGCTGCATTATGCCATTTTATTAATCAGATAAATGTGGATACTTTACTAATATAAATGATGTTAATGATCAAACAGACAAAATGACTATGATATGCTATCTACGACAATCATATGTTCTTTATGACATAGTAAAAGGTTTTACATGTACCCAAATGCGTAATATAATTATTTGAGATATGTTTTAAATAAATGTACATTCTTTAATTTTCTCTAATGAAATATAAGATTAAATTTATTAAATTATTTAAAATTAAATATTGAGAATTAAATTTATTGAATTATTTTTAAATTAGAATAAAATCAATTGAATGTGTAAATATATATATGACTAAATATATTTTTACATAAATTTTAAAATTATCACATCAGTCTAGACGTTTTAATTTAAATGTAAATAATTTAATTGAAATCAAAATAAAATTTTAATACTTAATTAATAAATAAATATATGATGATCAGAATAAAATCAATATCATAATCTAATAACAAACAAAACAGTTTAACTATTTATATAACACTGTGATATAAGATTTTGAAAAATCTTAGTAGGTTTTTAGTTTTTATATTTTGAAAAAACTTGATTGATTTTTAAATTTTTTGATAAGATAATGATAATTTTTAAAATAAATAAAGATTTTTTTATAGATAAATTAAAACAAACAAATCAAATTAAATATTTATCTTTTTAAAATAAATTATATATAGTTGTTAGTCATTTACATGTTTGATTTCATCTAGAATTCTCAGTCATTTGTTTTTGCTTATTTTCATATATATTTTTCTTAGTAAACTGAGTATAGAAGTTGAGCAAAACCTAAATCTTGTAACATCAAACAATCACCTATGGAGATCCCACCACCGTCTCTCCACCACGCATCCCCCAACGGCGGCCTAGTCGTCGTCGAGCCATTGAAGAAAGACCAACCGAACATGAACGGTAACGGCAACGATGTCGAAGATGGCTATCTCGATTCGTTTCCTCCGGGATTTCGATTTTGTCCTCTTGACGAAGAGCTCGTTCTTCATTACTTGAGGAAGAAAGTCATGAACTTACCTTTGCCTCAGAACAGGATCATGGAAGTTAATTTATATAGTTATAATCCTGAAAAACTTGCAGGTATTATCATGATATTAAATCCTTCAATCTAAATTAAGATCGAAAATATTTTTTTCGAATAATTAATTTGATTGTATTATACTTTGTCAACCAGAACAACACAAGCAATACGGAGAGAAGGAATGGTATTTTTTCACTCCTAGAGACAAAAAGTACCGGAACGGAACACGACCTAATCGTGCAGCCGGTGACGGATACTGGAAGGCCACCGGTGCCGACAGGAAAGTTCGATTCAACAACAACATCATCGGCTTCCGAAAGGCATTGGTCTTTTACAGAGGAAAACCTCCCAAAGGTGATAAGACTTACTGGATAATGCATGAGTATAGAGTTAACGATCCTCCTTCGCCCAGAAAAGAAAGGGCTGGTTACAATGACATGAGGGTATCACTCTAAATTTCCCAAAATTTATTTTTTCTAAATTCATTTTTTTTAATTTTCCTTTTTGATTTTTTGTGTGTGTGTGGTAGCTGGATGATTGGGTTTTATGTCGGATCTACAAAAAACAGGATAAATCAGGTAAAACACAAACAAAAAACGACGAGACGAGTCCGCCGAATCAGAATCCCGAAGATCCTCCTCCGAATGAAGAGATAATCGGTTCGGATGATATTATCGATTACAACGCTTATTTCAACATGGGAGGCTTCGTGAACCAATCTTTGGCCGACGAATCTTTTAACATTTTACAGAATAATTTTATCGACCAGTTTCCGACGTGGTGTCTGAATGATAGATTGGAGCAGCAAGATGTTTGGAGCGGCGCTGGAAATTTGGAACATCCTGCACCATTGGACATGTATGTTCAACCACTGGTCCAGTTGGATCTGTCCACTAAAAATACTAATAATTCAGATGAAAATTCTTCGTATAAGGCTTGGGTGAGTAAATATGAAGTTTAGGGTTTGAAGTTGTTTGATTCCTTTGGAGTTTAATTTTATATTTCTACTGGAGACTTTATTTGTGTTTGATTTACGATCCATTTTGATGTTACTATGAGGACAATTTTTGTACTTTTATGTTATTGATTTCCTTCTTTTATTTGGGCTCATATACCAAAAGGATTTAGAAAATATAATATTATCTGAATATTTTAAAACTGAATTATTAATTTAAAATGGAAATTATAGTTTAAATATTTTTTTTATTAATTTAGGGTGGTTACAATATAGTATTTTTTTATTATCTCTTTGACCACTGATATATTTTGATTCGTGTATAATTAAGCTAGACTATAACCCATCCCAGACTTAACCCACGAACAAGTCTTACTTTATAATTTTACCCCCAAAATACTCAAGTTTTATGATTTAATCCTTTTTATTTTGACATCCCACCATAAAATTCTCGACTTTGATCCTGCTGAAAACTCAAAAATCTACATATAGGTCCTGATCAAAATTATACATTTGAGTAATACCAGAAGAAGCATTCATTTCATTTCCTTCACTGCCAAAACCACTAATTCCGCCACCATTCGGGGCCGAAAACGGCCACCAATTGCTCGACTCAACCGCGGCCGGCAGCAAATCAACTTGTCTCCAAACGTTTCTCTTCAGCTCCTGGAGTGCATTTCTCAACTGTTGAAGCTCACTCAACCCGAGTTCATCAACCGGGGCTTGCCACCACCATTGCCGTCTACCAGCTTCCCTTACTTCATCAAGTGCTTCCCCGTTCCTTTTTGCAACTTCAAACATCTCAACAAGTTGCGCTAGATGTGCATTGAGCTCACGGATGTTCGCATCTCGAAGAGGTTCGATAACGTTATGGTGTGCGATAAATTTACGACCCGAAGGGTTCGGAGTGAAAAACCGGTCGACGATGGACTCGATGCGAGGGTGGCCAAATGAGAAGACCTTGCCTGCGGGGGAGAAGACTATGATTGCAACACCGACACCGCAAAGCGTGCAAAGTTCACTAGCTTTTTTAAACAGCCCAGCACGACGTTTAGAAAATGTCACCTGAAGATTAGTCTTCTTCACTATCTTCTTCATTTCGATCTTCCGGCGACCTCGGATGGAGCTGCTCTTCACCATTGTTGAAGATAAATGTAACTTGAAACATCGAGAGGAATGAATGGGGGTATTTATACAGAGGTGTTGGATTTGTTTCTGGAATTAAAAACCAAGATTTGGAATTACAATTAAAACTAATTATGAATTTGGTTGGCAATGGTATCTATGATGAAGAAAACCGTTTATTTGCTTTCACAAAGAAAATTAAAGCGATTTTTACTTGTAAAGTATGAGAATCAAGCTTCCCTTTTTAAATCTTGATTGTGTTATTCATCCCATATTTTGGGTGTTCATCGACATCTTTGGAATTATCAGAGACTTGCCGTTTGCTTGGAAGCATATTTAATATGAGCCTTAAGATTTTAACAGTTTCAGAGCTTTTATTATCATAATCAGCCTTTAATAATATCATTAGAAAGCCCTTTAATCTATTAATATTATTAAACGCTTGAATCAACTAACACGTGTTTAAAAGTGTGATTCTTTCAATGTTTATTTAAAAATTATACATATATATATATATATATATATATAAATATATATATATATATATATATATATATATATATATACAAGACCATGTAAAGAAATCATGTAGATAGTTTATTTGATCAAAGATATAACAGTCTAATCTAAACAAAGTGAAGCAAAATTTAAACTGCTGGCATTAACCAACATTGATTAGATCAGATGTACAATTTCTCAGAAGACCTTTACTATCTGCATACATCAATTCAGTAGCCAGCACAAGGTTGTTTTCTTGCTAAAATTTGTAAGCTAGGTCAGATTTACACATTTTTGCATGCCCTGCTTTCCCTTTTATGGACTCCATTTGTAGGCAAGGTTGAAGCAGTGAACTAGTGAACTGAAAAGCTTCAAAATCGGTTCGAGATCCATGTACAACTCACGAGCTGTTTCTATAAGATTCGTCTACGATGAACGTTTCATTTCCTCTTTATGAAGGCTAAACAATGGCAAGATTCCCTCACCATGCTGTTTCTGTTGTTTCTTCAAGGTTGGCTTGTTACTGATGTCTCTGAGGGGCGAACGTCTGATCGGGATAAGTCCGGCGGTGCAGGGATCATCCTCCTTTAACCGACACACGAGTACCCTCTTCTCTGTTTCACTTTGTGCTTCTCGATTGATCGGTGAAGCAATTCGGGTCCTCGCTGTTTTTCGCTCTCTTTCCTGCCTCAATCTCTCAACCTCTTGGCGAAGCACGTATACTTGTGCCCGTAACTCTTTAGCCTCAGCTTCGGACGACAGAGCTTTCTGTCTCCATTCTTTCACCTAATGAAAGCAAACCAACATGTTCAGCAAGTAGAAATGATGTGTGATTGTTTTTGTAGTTCTTATGTAGCATGTGAAAATCTTACAGCGGATTGCAGGGATCGAATCCGATAATCTGAATCGAGTGCTCGGTCTTCCCAGAAATCACGAGACGCATGCAATTCTTCCATCTCATCCCTAACCAGCCCCAGCATGTCTTGCATCTGTGACCATTGCTCGGTCTCGGCACGAATTTGCTCGACAACCCTCTGCACTAATGCCTTGCAATGCCCCGAACACACTCTTGCCTCATGGGACATTTTCTCCTGCAAAAACCAAGTGCTGTAATGCAAAAATTGAACTAATATGATTGTTGTTAAAGACTGATGATGATTAAAGGAACTTACTTTGCATGATTGTTGTAAAGAAGAAGACGATAAATCTGAATATTCCTCTAACAAAAACCCCTTTGACAATCCATCCATCTTTCTTCTCAAACTCTCCACCTGCAAATCTGAGTAGTTTTGTACATTGCGGTTATGATCATCGTCTTCGCTGATGGTTTTGATCGACAAGCTCGCTTCGGCCATCTGTCGAATCTCTTTCACGCATCGTTCTTCATCAGATATTCCTTTAAACCCAGATTTTTCTAGCTGCCTCTGGAGAGAAGATATTTTTTTATCGAAGTTACTGCATTTTTTTACCTCCAAGTCTTGAACACCTGATCTCTTTTGCAGCTTCTCTATTTTCTCAATTAATTCATTGATCTGTTCGTCCAATAATGCCATGTTTACATCCTTCCGTTCACAGATGTTCTTTCTTCCCTGTAAACCAATTGCCAAAACCAAAGTCAAAAAGCAATATTTTCCCGAGAACCAAACAGAAAAAAAAAAGGAAAAGAAGAAACCGACGGAAAGTAAAATTTGAGCAGCAGATTTCAATGTCCTCTCCATGTACACCTTTCTTCTCTCCATTTTCTTAACGGCGATCTTCCTTTCCATCCTCAACAAGTTACACTCCGCTCTCAACATCTCAGCTTGGAACCTCCATTTCTCTTCTTCAACAAACGCTACGCTGCTGCTGCGGTTTTCTCTCTTCTCCTCCTCCTCCTCGGCCACCCTCCCTCTTCTCATCTCGTCGTCACTCTCCCTCGGACTCACCACCACCACCGGAACACTCCCCCTTGTAAAAGACCCTCCTTGATCAAACAAGCTCTCCAGAACCATCCCTTTTCTCTCCTTCTGCGAACCGGGAAGTTTCGAAGGACTCGCCTTGGGCGCTTTCCTTCGAAGCCGCCGTGGCAAATGGATGATTCTCGGAGATGGCTGCGCCGGTGGGTATTGCCATTTAGCTCTCCTTGTTATAGTTGTTCCCATTGACACCCTCTCCATGCAACCAAAAAAAAAAACTCTCTGCTTTCGTTTTGAAAAAGGTAAGCTCTTTACTGCCTTCCCGATGCAATAAACCTGTTGGTTTTTGAAAATTTAAGAGCTGCTCTATAACTGGGTACTCGGATTTAGTTACAGACAGTGGGAGTTCTGTTAATATTTTGCAAACACAGATGTCCTGGTCTTCTTCAAGTTGTCTGAAACAAAAATGAATAAATAAATAGAGGCTGTTTTGTCCTGTTTAGGGTGTCTGGTTTTACATTAGATAAAATGACAGTATGGTGGGTGGACATGGAAGCTAAGAACCACTGTGAAAATTTTGGACTTGTTTAACATAAATTTCCGTACCTTTGTTTTTAAAGGAATTTGATGGAAGGAGTAAAATTTTTGGGAGGAAAATATAGGTGAAGAATTGATTAGACATAGGTGGGGGTAGATTTAGCAAAACACTGAAATTAAAATATGTAGGCATTTTCAAAATTGAAATTTGCAACGGTAGGTTTAGAGATTAGAGGATAGGTACTGGAACTGTTGTGTGTTTGAAGGCTGTTTTAGGTCATGGTAATAATGGCATGGAAAATATTAATTGATCTAGTAAAATGAGATATTAGGTCATTTAAATAACGATTGTGAGTTTAAATTTTGACATTATACATGAAAAATTGAATGGAAAGGATTGTTCTCAAAATAAGAGTCTTTCGATCTGATTTAATCATAAAATAAGTTAAATTCGAATAGTATTACTAAAAAAATCTATATATGGAATGAGAGTACTGAGAGTCATGAAAATATGAATCAAAAGTTACATACTAAAATTCATTTTCATATTACAACAAACAATATGATTGCCTCTGCAGCATGTTTACGTGTTGTTAGGGGTGTAAAAGAATCGAACTCGAACGAAAAAAGTTATGTTCGCGTTCGTTCGTTTATTTTTTAAGTTGTTCGTGTTCGTTTCTTTATTTTTGAATGTGTTTATATTCGTTTATTTATTGTTTGAGAACATGTTTGTTTAATGTTCACGAACATGTTCGTTTAGCGTTTGTTGAGTGTTCGTTTAGCCTTCATTTATCATTCGTTTATCGTTCGTTTATATATTCAATTTTTAGTTTTACGCTTTTCATTTGCAAGTTAAAGAATAATGATAAAAATACACCACTAGTGCTTAAACTCCTTAAATCAACAATTTAAATTTCAAATTTTATCATGTGTTCAATTTAGTCACTACCTTTACCAATATTTAAAATGTAAAAAAATGAAAATGAGAATTGGGTAAGCGTGCTTGTTCTTAACATAAACGAACTGAACACACTTCTGTTCGTGTTCGTCCAATTATTAAATGAATATAAAAAAAATTGTTCATACTCATTTATTTAGCTTAACGAACAAAAATATAAACGAACGTTATACAAACAGTTCACCAAAAACTCTGTTTATTTACAACCCTATGCATTGTTATTTATTAATGATCATTTAAACACATATACCTTGCAATCACCCAGTATCATTAAAAAATAATTAAAATAAATATCAATTGAATTATTAATTTAACGACATTTATTCTCAATATTTAAATCATATTCCAATCAAACTCATGAAATATAAGCTCAATGATGAGAGTATAAGTAGAAACTTATATATTTTTTTTACTCTCATAAATTTCTTATAAAAATCAACCTTATGTCATAAAACATATCAGTACACTTCATGTAAAATGAATATCGATTGGATATATTCTATATCGTAATTCGACTCAACTTGCAGGATATAAATCGTGTCATTTTATAATTAAATTACCCAAAAATATATATATTATAAAAAACCCGATTCCACTCAGAATATACACATATAAGTACACTTTATATAAAACGAGTAGAGTAAGAAAAATACGGCAAAATCCACGAGATAATGTTCTCTAAATTTTTATTTCACGATATAAAGCTTTGGACATATTATTTGCTGAGATAGTGTGAATTCTACAGTGAAGCCGTAGGTCGCCATGCACTTCAGGCGACCAAGGAGGTCGCCATGCACTCCAGGCGACCAAAGAGGTCGCCATGCACTCCGGGCGACCAAGGAGTGAGTGCAAGCTATCCATGGAGCACCAAGGAGTGAGTGTGAGCTATCCAGGGAGCATTGCATGGCCCATGCACGTCGAATTTTCTTTGTGTAGGTCGCCAAGAAGTCCCGGCGACATGGTAGGTCGCCATGCACGCCCGGCGACCAAGCTGGCGACCAAACTTAACCCTGCTCCCTCGTGCATGCGTTGCATCCATAACTGGGAGATTGCAGCCAAGCTTTAACCCTCTGTTCCCTCATGCATGCGTTGCATCCATAGCTGGGAGATTCTTGCATCCATAGCTGGGAGATTCCAGCGTTAATTTAGCTGCTAAATGCAGCAAATATTGATGTTGAATTGTAGCCTTTCAACGCTCAATAGTTACACGATTCAATGCTCAATATTATTTGCTTCAACAGTCAAATTTAATGACGCTCACCAATGCCCATTTTCTTTATATAGAGGATATGGGGGTTTAGGGTAAAAGCATAAGCAGAAGCAGCACATATAGAAACTTTACCAAGAGAAAGAAAAGGAAGAAGAAGAAAAGAAGATAAAGGCTCAAACATTCTTTTTTGAGATAATTTTTTATTGTTTAATTTAGTTTATTATATGAAATTATTAGTTTGTTAGCTTAGGGTTTAGGGTAAAACTAAAATTTAGTTAATTAGTTTGTTAGTTTAAGTTATATTATATTAGTTTGTTAGTTTAAGTTATATATTATATATAAAAATTAGTTAATTAGTTTCTTAGTTTAAGTTATTAAATATAAAAAAATTAATTAATTTGTTAGTATATTTAAACGTATATTAGGTTGTTTGTTGAAGTTATATTATAAAAAAATTAATTAGTGCTTAATTAATTTGTTAGTTTGTTATTTTAACTAAGTTATATTATAATAAAGAAATAGTTTATTAGTTTAAGTTATATTATAATATATTAGATTATATAAAATTAATTTGTTTAATTTATTGTTGTTTAAAGAAATATTTTGTTTACACATACATGGCATTATTCCATAACATTTGCCCACGTACAAATTAATTCGAAGAAAGAAACAAGAAAGGAAAGGAAAGGAAAGGAAGAAGGCATAAATACGTGGGTAATTTATTACTTTTTGTTGTCCATTTTTAGTTGTTGTGTATGCGTAAATTAGTTAGTTAGTAAGTTTATATTAGAAAATTTGTGCGAGATAATTTCCGTTTAAAAAAATATTGTGTTTAAAAAATATTTAGTGTTTTTTAAAAAATATTTTGTTTAATTTATATTATTTGTAAATTAGTAAGGAGTAAAAATTAATTGAATAAAATAATCCGGCCAACGCATTATCTCGTGAAATAATTCTTTCGAGAACATTATCTCGACAATTTTGCCTAACAAATGTGTTTGATATTTTAAAAAAATAAAAAATATTATCAAACTAATATTATTATTATTAATAATCATTACTAAATGATTAGTATCAAATATAAATCATTAAATATTTATAATAAATAATTAGTAGTAATCATGACTAAATCATATTATTATTAAATCATTAAATATCAAATCATTAGATTAATAATAATTATTAAATCATTATTAGTAATATTAGTAATCAAACAATCAAGTTAAATAATAAATTTTATTTGATCGTTAATATAATAGTATATTATATTATATTTAATTATTTAATGATTTATGAAATTATCTTATATAATTTTTTAATCTAAATTTATTGATTTTTTTATTTGTAGAGAAAATGACCAACAACTTTTTCAAGATTGTCTATTATAATGGATAGATTATGGAAAATGAGGTCGGAGTAGTTTTTCAGTCTGAAAAACCAATAAATATGATGTTAAAAAAAGACATCACACTTATAGAAATGAAGCATAAGATAAAAAGAAAAATTTGAGCTGCAGTTGATGGTTTGAGGTATAGATTTATGATATGCCTCAACCCAGTCAGATATGCTGCAGTTCCACTTGAAGAAGATGATGATATTGGAACTATGGTTGGATTACATGAGTCAACCAATATATAACAGTTATTGAGTTATTTATTGATATGCGTAACATATGTGATGTTCTTGGGTCATCAAGAGGTGTGGCTCAAAATCCATCTGAAATGACTTTATATAGTCAGTTTGAGGAGCCACATACAGGTTCCCGAATAGTTTTATGGCACTATTGGAAAGTGTAAATGAAGTCGGAATGACATCTGCAGCAGCAGAGTATGAGACGAGAAACATACCAGAATTGGTTGTTGATATTGATGCTGAAAATCGATGGGGAGAAATTCATGATGATTCAAGCGAAGATGAAGAAATCGAAGAACCCGTTTTGGGCGACGATGAAAATATTTTCGGTGGAGGTGCAATTGATGAAGTTTCGGCACCGTATGAAGCTACTCCTCACATGTACGAGATAGACTATGATGCGATGAGGGCACCTGAATTCCCAGACATGCCACATTTACCTCCGTACTAAATGACTGAATCATTCGATAATTCTGGTGAATTTTCAGTTGGGGTGCAATTCAGAGGAAAAAATGAAACTACCCTGGCGATTAAAAAGTACTGCATCAAATGCCATGTTGATGTCAATGTTGCAGAGTCCAACCAGAAAACCCTATACGCGAAGTGTGTAAAATATAGCTCAGAGTGCAAGTGGAAGATCAGATTGTCGAAAAATCAAAGGCACGATGTTTGGGTCATCACGAGGTACAATGGTCAGCACACATGTTTGCGAAACTCCATCGAACAAGACCACTGACTATTGGACTCCGATGTAATATGCGAATACGTGAAGGCGATGGTTGAAAAGGATCCAAGGATATCTTGTTCAGTGTTAGCTGCATCTATTCGAAGCCAATTTGGATATCAAGTAAAATATGGCAAGGTGTGGAATGCGAAGATGAAGGCAATGAAGCTGACGTATGGAGTTTGGGATACATCGTACAATGAGCTACCACATTTTATACAAGCAATGAAGCAATTTATCCTAGGAATCATAGTGAAGTCTAAAACCATGGCCGCATATGACGAAGAAGGTCAACTTTTGGCAAGGAAGAAAATATTTCATAGACTATTTTGGGCATTCAAGGCATGTATTGAAGGATTTCCATTTTGCAAACGTATGATCCAAGTAGATGGTACGTGGTTGTATGGTCAATATAGG